ATGTCGACATGTAGTGATAGAGCCGGTTCGTTCAACCCAGCTAGTGGGGGTTATACACCAGCAAATCGTGGCCCTGCTAGTGGGGATTATACACTGGCCGTGACCTATAGAGGAGACGTCTATTTCGTGCCCGTACTGTATCCGTTTTTCGTGATTGCACTTGTTGGCATGCTATAAGTTTAATTAAGGGCAATCCATATTTTACTTACTGAGTTATCTCACCTTGTTTTTCTCGTCCACCATTTCAGGTAGTGTGCCCCGAGACTCGAAAATCAAGGGGAGTGACGTGAAAAGAAAAGGGCTAGCCACTTGAGATTTGACATAGATTTTAGATACATGTACACCACGCTCCTGTAAGTTAGATTTTAATTGGAAATTTTATGGTATCAAAACTGATTTTGTTCAGTAAGTTTCGAGCCTTGTGCATTTGTGAGACCCGTCTCACGAGTGCACGGCGTCTGTCGCGCCTCGGATTTGGGTTCTGAGGCGTGACATAAAGATTGGAAACTTGAAGGGCTGAGAGGAGAAAATGGCAAAACGACGTCGTTTTGACCAATGGGCTAAAAAATAAAAAAGAGAGGCTGGGTTTAGACGAACCCTAGCCCCTCACTTTCACGATTCTTCTTCTTGCCATGAGCCACTCTCCCAAAATTCCCAAATTCTTTTGATACAAATCCACTCAAAGTTTAGATAGATAACAACAACACAAGAAGAGATTTTCGGATTTGAAGCCCTTATCAAGAGTCGCAGAAGAAGTTTTCAAAGTCGATTCAAATTGGGAGTCCTAATATTTTAAAGGTATGAATCTAGCCTTAAAAGAGGAAGATGTGTAAAGAACTAGATTAGTTTTAGAATTCCAAATTCTAATAGGGCTAGATTATTATCTGTAATTTTAGAGATTGGGATAAGAATTTAGAATTAGAAAAGGGTTTGAGTTCTCCCTATTTCTGTATAAAAGGGGAAGCTTTGGCTTTGAGTGGGGCATTGGGAAAAATTGAAGGAGAAGGGGAGAAATTTGGCAAAGCTCAGAAGGAATATTGGAGAGATCGAGAGGGAGAAAGAGAGCAGAGAAAAAAGGCAAATCAGAAACTTGTACTTGGGCTTCAAGAAATAAAATCTTGATTTTTCCTATTTTCTGCAGGTGTGCATCATTCTTAATTTGTTCTTCTGTGATTCCTTCTTGTTATACTCTGTTCTTTCTTCCTCTCTTTGGTGATTGGTAGTTGCTTGATTTCCTTTTTAAACTGTTTATTTCCATGTTTTGCTTGAAATTAATCTTAAAACGAGAAAAAAAAAATATCATGAAATATTAATTTTTGGGAATTCTACCAATAAGGCAGAATCTTTTTGGGAGAAGTCAATTTGTTTGTTTTTGTTTACCCATAGAGGATTTATTTTTTGGAGATATTATCATTACTTTAAGAGATGCATTAGGTAAAGAAAAAAAAAGAAAGAATAAAAAGGAACTTTCTTAATGGTTGGGTTTTAAAAAAAAAAATAGAAAGAAAAGCAAGCAGAGACAAAAAGAGAGTAGGGAAGGAAACAGTGCAGAAAAAGGAAAACAAAAAAAGGAAACCAAAAAAAAAAGAAAAAAAAAAGGAAAAGAAAAAGAAATGATGACAAATTCTTTGTGCTTTTGGAAGTAATCTTTTTTTTATTGTTATACATGGCTTTTTAGTCATGAATTGTAGTCTTTTATATTTTATTGGAACAATTTTATTTGGTTTTACATTACTTTTATCATTCTTTGTAGGT